TTGGGGGATGCAGGAAACTTGAGCTATATGGAACATCTCTAGGTGATTCTGTTTTGGTTGTTGTAAAATGAGTTGATATACATTTTAAATACACCTGTGAGATTCTCTGAGTTTTAGAACTCTTAGCTACATAAGACTTCTATAGACTGGTACCATGGACTTTTCAAAGGTTTTTATTGTGTATTTGTTTATTTATGCATACTAGAGATTGAACATGATTCACAGATGTTCTACCACTGAGCTACACATCCCAACCTGATTTTTGTTTGGCATTCCTTTTTGAAATTTTGTTTTCAATGTAGTAAGCTTAGGATATTACTAAAGGTAGCATCCTGGAGAAATAAGTCAAGGCAGAATTACAAAGTTGTGAATATCTTTATTTGTGCTCAGCATAAACCTTTGTTCTGTATTGTTGTCTTTGTTCCTGTTCCTGTATTTCATTCACTGTGAAACAAAGTTTATGTTAATCAGTGTATTAGTTTGCAAGGGCTGCCATAGCAAATACCACAGTCTTTTTAAAGGCCCTGTCTCCAAAGATAGTCACATTCTGAGGTTCTGAGATTAGAGATTCACCATTTGAATTTTTGAAGACCACATTTCAGCCCATAACAGTCAGTGAAATTATGTAGTTTACACAGAATTGATGATTAATTTCCCTAGCTGCCAAGAATGGTTCCAGACATAACCCTAGTTTCCTTAGGCTATAACAGATTTGATATAAATGAGACCCACTTCTCCCACTCTTGCACATATGTAAAAAATCCCACTAGAATTCCTTGGGGGCTTTTTGGGTCTAGAGTCTTAAAAAAAAAAAAAAGATGTATTTTATTTTTAATTATGTGTGTGTGTGTGTGTATGTGTGTGTGTGTGTGTGTGTGTGTGTGTGTGTGTGTTAGGATAGATCCACACGAATGCAGGAGCCCTGAGAGACTAGAGACATAGGATCCCCTTGGAGCTGGAGTTACAGGCAATTATAAGCTGCCCACTGTGGGTGCTGGGAACTTACCTTAGGTCCTCTGCAAGAGCACTGTACACTCTAAACTGTTAAGTGATCTGTCTTTTTTTTTTTTTTTTTTTTTTTTTGTCTTTTTGAGACAAGGTCTCCTTGTAGCCTGGAACTCACTATGTAGATCTGCCTGCCTTCCAAGTGCTGGGATTAAAGGCGTGCACCACCATGCCTGGCCTCTAGCTGTCTTTTTAGTCACCTTCACCTAGGCCCTTTATTAGAAATGCAAGACTGGAGATTGGGGCCTAGATGCTTTTCTGTTGTTTTTAGAAATTTCTCTTCCATATGTTTGTGAATATGTCCATCACAGCTGTTCCCTCCTCTTTTCCCTCTTCCTCCTTTTTTCCTTCTTTCCCTCCCTCCTTTTCCTTGACCCTCTGCCTTTCTCTTTTCCTCCCTCTGTCCCTCCTTCTCACCCGTCCTCTCCCTTTCTCCCACTGCACTTCAATACTACCCATGTGCCAGAATCTTCAAGGAGCCAAAGTTGTATTATCTTAAGACAACTTACCCTCCATTGAAATATATTATGAAAAGTGGAGAATTTATTTATTTTTAAAGTATTTTATTATTTTTATTTTATATGTATGAGTGTTTTGCCTGCATTATGTAAGTGCACCATGTGCATGCAATGCCCAGCAGAGGCTAGAAGAGGGTGTTGGATCCCCTGGAACTGGAGTTATGATGGTTGTTAGCCACTATGTGGGTGCTGGGAATCAAACCCAGGTCCTCTGGAAAAACAGCAAGTGTTCTTAACTGCTGAACCATCAGCAGTTAACTGAACTATCTCTCTAACCCCAAAAGTAAGGAATTTAATGCCTCTGTCTTTTATAGATATTTTGGAAAATATCAGTGTTTATTCACAGGCTTCTCTCTTCTCTGGGTGTACATAGGGCAGACAGGATTAGAGTGACCGTGACCATACACTATTCAGAATCACTTCCTTCTTCAACCCAGTAGGGCTTTGATTTCTAGATCAGGCTTTTTATACTTGTTTCATCTTCCTTCAGCATGAAGTTTCCTCTTAGGATTTCTCAGCTCTTTCTGTAAATGAGTATTTAGTAGATTTATATACTTTTTATAACCCAGGACCGGATTGTAAGGGTTAAGCCATCATCCACATTACAGTGAGAACCTCTAAGTCCTATGTCACAGCATAGCCTGTTGTGTTCATAAACATTCTGTCATTCTAATGACAGAGATAGTTTAGAAGAAGGAAAAAGGCTAGACATGGTGTTGCTTCCCTATGATCCCAGCACATGGGAAGCAGAGACGAGGATTCCCACAAATTTAAGGCTGGCCTGGTCTATGTAACAGGTTTCAGGCCAGCCAGTGAAACCCTTCTCAAAAAAATCACAAACACGCACACACAGAGAGAGAGAGAGAAAAGATTTATGTTACCTCATGGTTTCATGATCAATCAGCCTTGTTGCCTTTGGGCCTGCAGAGAGGGAGCAGTTCATGGCAAAGTCACAGCAAGAAAAAACCTGCTAACTGAATGGCAGCTGAGGAAACAGTAGGAAGGGGCCAACTTCCAACACCTCTCTCCTCAGAAGGTGTGCCTAAATGACCCAACTTCCTTTCCTAAGCTCCGCCTTCTAAAGGTACCACCACACCTCATTAGCACCATAGTCTTTACCTGTGGGCCTTTGGGGACATTTAAGATTCAAACCTCTCTTCTCTCATCTCTTTACCATTTCTTTTTCTTCTTCCACCTTTAATGGGGTTCAGGTTGTTAGATTTGCATGACAAGTGCCTTTACCCACTGAGCCACCTCACCTGCTTTTCCTTTACCTTATTTTTATTCTACCGATGGTTTGGTACTGTTTATGTCTACTTTGACATGTTTTACACATTTCATTTAATACACAGTCTTATTTTTTATTTTTTTGGCAGTTTTCTGAGTAGCCATTATTTTATCAACATTAAAAAAGTCAAACTTGAACAAGTGGCGGTTTTTTTGTTTGTTTGTTTTTGTTTTTTTTAAAGACAGGGTCTCATGTAGCCCAGGATAGCCTCAAACTCACTAGATAGCTGAGAACGACCTTGAACTTCTGATCCTCCTGCCTCATCCCTCAAGTGTTAGGATTACAGACGTGTACGACAGTACCTCATTTCTGTGGTGCTGGGACTTTGTGCATACTAAGCAAGTACTCTACCAACTGAACTACATCCCCAGCCCAAACCAATTTTCTAATTGGTGCCAAAAGCCAATTTGTAAAATATGTTGTGCTTGGGTCAGAGGAAGCATAGTTTCCCAAAGACTTAAATGTGTAGCAACTAATGGCAAATTTTCATTTTTCCCATTATTGGAGCAACCCACCAGGGACTGAGAAGTGAGGCATATACTTAGTGTCTCCAGTGTTTTGAGAAGAATTTCTGCAGATACACAACCATCTTCAGAACTTATATACTTTGGGAGTTCTGCCTCCATGTTATAGTGAGCCAGCTGTGACTAACCTGATCTCTTATTTTGTGTAGAAATAGCTTTCTTCAATGGGAGACAGTATCTGAACAGCCATATCTGAGCTGATGGTTCAGAAGGGCTTCAAATCTGAAGAATCTAGAGTAGACTTATTTTGTTATTCTATTTTGGTTTTCTTTTCTTTATTTTTATTAGTAAATGGTAGTTGGTTCTAATAATAGCAAGTGTGGATCCAATGATAGCAGGTATGATTGTCTCTCAAGAGTAAAGAGCAGCAAGTATTTTTAAGTTTATTTTTATGTGTATGAGTGTTTTGCCTTGTTTGTATGTAACTGCGTCTGTGTTGGGCAATATTCACCAAGGCCAAAGAGGTTGTTGGATGGAACTGGAGTTACCAACAGTTGTTAGCCACCATATGGGTGCTGGAAACTGTCCTCTGCAAGTGCTCTTAACCACTGAGCCATTTCTCCAGCCCTGCATCAAGTTTTTTTTTTTAAGCTGAATAGCCTCTAATTTAGACAAATCAGATTGCTCTAAAGATAGCCAGTCATGGCAATAGCTAAAGTAGAAAATCCTAGAAGTTAAGTGTGTTCTTTGCCCTTCCCAGAAATATAGTCAAGGAAATGCTCCAGACTTTGCCTTGTGAGCTGGGAAATCAGTGAAGTCAAAAATCAAAATAGAGTAATTTTATAATGGAATTCTTAGAGTAACATTTGCAAAAAGTTTTGTTGCTTAGAATTGTGCCGGTGAGTTATTGTTTATTAACAATTATTACCTTGTTTTATCCAATGTGGTTGTGAATTAGGAATACTAACATCTATTAAGTAGAATACATTTCTAAAATACTTAAATTATGAAAAAGATTTTGAAAAGTTTGACAAAGAATTCACCTGCTAAAATAGTTAAAAAGAATGCATCTACCAAAAATAAAATTAAAAGACAGAAAAGAAAACCAAAATAGAATATAAAATAAATCCACTCTAGATTCTTCAGATTTGAAGCCCTTCTAAACTAGATGATTAGAATGCAAGTGCATTAAGTGAAGGTGTGTTTTATTCAAGGATTAAATTCAGAAATTTAATATATCGAAATATTTTCCTTGGAAATTCCTTAGGAAACCTACCTGTTGGCATCCAGCAGTGAATATTAGAGAATGGAGTTAATATTATAACTTATGTTTGAAACCTGTGTTGTCTTCAGCATAAGTACTTTAAACCCTAGAGTCATGCTTTTGTGGAGAAGTGTTCAGGCTATGGTACATATAACTTATGAACAACTAAGAAAAGTGGCAAATTTGCATCAATTACATATTATGCTTACTCCAGGGTACATGCTTAGAGAAAGTCAGGCTATACTTGCCTGTATTAGTTACACGGTAAATAATCATGTTTTTCTTTTTGTTACTGCTGAGTTTAATATAATTGAAGTTGTGATAATTAAGTTTGTAAAAATACAACTGTATAGTATTTAACTGTGTTATATTAAAAGTTTTACCTGAATTTGTATGTAATGCTTCTGTCCTCCAAGTGGAAGCAGTGATGCTATACTCTATCATTCTTTGACTCTCTGTAGATAATGGATTCTGAATTATCACACAGTGTAGTTGGAAGCTATCTTAAACCTCCACAAAGAATGTTTATTCCATCCTTCACTGAAAATGAGCCATTTCAGAATTGCTATGCTGTGAACTCTGAAGTTACCTCTTCTAAAATGTTTAATAGTCCAAATAGCCAAGGTAATGTTGATATAAAACTTTACATAAAATTAGAGGAACAGTATAAGGTACAAAAGCTTATCATTGTTTTGTAGAAAATAATGTGATTGTATATTTAATATTCATAAAACTTTAAAAATATTTTATGTGTATAGTGTTTAGCCTGTATATATGTATGTGTACTATGTGCATGCCTGATGCCTACAGAGGCCAGTAAAAGGCATCAGGACAGTTGTGAGCTGCCATGTAGATGCAGGGGACAGAACCTGAGTCCACTGCAAAAGCAGCAAGTGCTCTTAACTGCAGAGTCATTTCTCCAGCCCTATTCATCAAACTTTAGTCATTGTAATTCTATTTCTCAGTTTCTATGAATTACACAAGTCAGAATTACACAATTACAGCAATTCAGGCTATACTTGTCTGTACTAGTTACACAGTAAATAGTCATTTTTTTCTTTTTGTTACTACTGAGTTCAGTATAATTGAAGTTGTGATAATTAAGTTTGTAAAGATACAACTCTATAGTATTTAGCTATGTAATGTAACATTAAAAGTTTCACCTGAATTTTTATGTAATGCTTTTGTCCTTCAAGTGGAAACAGTGATTCTATACTATATTTTTCTTAACATTTCTTATTTGAGCTTCTTCAGCCTTATTTAATAAGATGAAGATTAATATAACCAGCTAGATATTTGTCACAGATCTATCATCAAAATATTCTTTTAGAAAATGGAAAAATAGGGGCTGGAGAGATAGCTCAGTGGTTAAGAGTACTGGCTGCTCTTTCAGAGGACCCGGGTTCGATTCCCAGCACCCAAATGGCAGTTAACAACCATCCGTAACTCCAGTTCCAGGAAATCTGACATCCTCTAACCTCCTCGGTCACTGCACGGCACAGGTGCACTTAGATACATGCAGACAATACATTCATACACGCACAAAAAATGAAATAAAAATTTTTTAAAAAGAAAACAGAAAAATACTCTTTTAATTACAAAAATCCATTAACTGTTACAGTTAAAATTAACTGTAGCAATTAGGTTTGGCGTGGTGGCACATGCCTTTAATTCTAGAACTTGGAAGGCAGAGGTAGGTAGAGCTCTGTGATTTGGAGGCCAGCCTGGTCTACATAACAGGTTCCAGACCAGCAGCTAGGGCTACATAGTGAGCCCATGTAAAAAATTTAGAAAAAAAAAAAAAAAGAAAGAAAATATGAGAAAAACTATCTTTAAAACTCAATTACTGTGTTATTTAGAAGCCCTTTCATTTGAAAAAATAGTCATTGTATTAAGTTACTTTAGAAATCACATTATAATAAAATTGTTTTTACAAGATATGTTAAAGGGAATTTATCTCTCTAATTTAGAGTTTTATTTATTTTCATTCTATGAGTAATATACATTAACTTGTACATTTTTCTGGTCACTTTAACGTATACTGCTCATCTTTTATTGTTACCCAAGTTACTCTGATTGTTATTTTCAAACACTCTGACTTAAAACATCAAGCAAATTTCTTTTCAACAGCACTCGTTTTAGCCTTAAAAACTCTTCAGGAAAAGATCCATCGTCTAGAGCTGGAGAGAGCACAAGCTGAAGACAACCTGAACGTTCTTTCCAGAGAAGCAGCACAATATAAAAAGGCCTTGGAGAGTGAAACAAATGAGAGAAATCTGGCACACCAGGAACTGATAAAGCAGAAAAAAGGTAAAAGAATGCAATAGTCCTCAGACCTGAGGCTTGCCAGAGTTTGCAACTTGAAATAATATCTAAGCAGAGTTACTCAAATATCTTTGTTCTTATATTAATTGAAACCTTGAGGCCTTGGTCTCAGACATTTTGATATTTATGGGAAACAAATGTAATTTTAAACTTACCACTATTCTATCTATTATCCCAGTTCTTAAATACATTTTTTGCAGGGGTTGGGGGTAATCTTCACATGTATTCCCAGGCTAGCCTTGAATTTGATATGTAGTTGAGGATGACCTTGCACTTCTGATCCTCCTGGTTTTCTGTTTCCACCTCCCAGTTGTTGGGATTACAAATGTGCACCACCATGCTTGATTTATGCAATGCTGTGGACTGAGCCCAGGGCGAGGCAAGCATTCTACCAATTGAGCTGTGTCCTTATCCCCCATTTTATAAATATTTAAGTTAAAAGAAAGTTTGTTTTTAGATAACTTGCATTTATAAATTAGAGTATTTTTTAGAATAACCAATAAAAACCAGCTTAGTTCATGATATAATTGAAATGCTAACGTAAAAATAATAGAAAACAATTTTGTTTAACTTGAAAAAAAAAATTGCAGGAGATAGGCGACTCAGTCAAGATTTCTGTGGAAATTATAAAAGGACATTAAACACAAGAGTTTTAAGAAATTTAGAGGGGGCTGGAGAGTTGGCTCAGCAGTTAAGACTACTTGCTGCTCTTGCAGAGGTCCTGGGTTCGGTCCATAACTCCCGTTCCAGGGGATCCAACTTCCGGCTTCTGTGGGCATTGCACAACATGGGTACACTTACATACTTCAGGCAAAACAATCATACACATAAAATAAAAATAAATAAAATCTTTTAAAAAAGAAATTAAGGTCAGGCATTGGCACGTTTTTAATCTCTGCACTCAAGAGGCAGAGGCAGAGGCCGAGGCCAGGGGCCAGGGACCAAGGAGGCAGGGGGCAGGGGCAGGGGCAAAAAGACAGAGGCAGAAGGAGAGGCAGAGGCAGGAGAAGCAGAGAGGCAGGCAGATCTCTGAGTTCAAGGTGAGTCTGGTCTACATAGTAAGTTCTAGACCAGCTGGGGCTACAGAGACAAGAAGGGAGGGAGGGAAATTTAGAATATGAGTTCTTTGTATAATTTTACTTCAAAACTCCCATATATTTGTTTTCCTTATAAAACACTCACCTGTGTAAATAAAGCCTAAGTTTGCATTTCACCTTAGAAACAGAATGAAGAACAAAAGTAGAGGAAAGAACTGATGAAAGCAAGAAAGTGAAAGAATTAAAAATAATTTTTTACCACTGTGTTTCTGGGTGGCACGCACCTTTAATCCCAGCACTTGGGAGGCAGAGGCAGGTGGATCTCTGTGAGTTCAAGGCCTGCCTGGTCTACATGGAGAGTTCCAGGACAGCTGGGGCTCCAGGGAGACCCTCTCTCAAAAAGACCAAAAAAAGGGGATTAGCCATGTGGTTGGTCAGTAGCTACAAGTAGAGGACAGAGCTGGGGAGATAGCCAGTGGATAAAGGTTCCCGTCAAGCCTGACAACCTGAGTTCGATCTACACGACTCACATGGTGGAAAGAAAGAACCTATTCCCACAGGTTATCTTCGGACCTCTAGAATGGGAGTACTAGAGTGTATGCTCCTGAGTTCCCTGGAAGGAAAGGAACGTAGGAATAGCTAATCAACTTTGCATTCTCTGTTTTTCTAGATGCTGTTGTTTCCTAAGAACAACCAAAATATTCATCCTACAAGGCATTAACATACTCCCCTTTGGAAGTGTGCCTTCTATCTTTTTAGGGGGAGAGATAATGTCAAACCAGTTGTAATTAATGAGGAATTCATAAAAAGTATGTTTAAAGTCTGTACTAAGAGCTAAAAGAAGCTACTTTAGGGACTGGAGAAATGGCCCAGTGATTAGAGTGCTTGCTGTACAATCATGAGGACCTGAATTTGAGTGCCCAGCACTCATATAAAAAAGCTGTTCATGCTGTGCATATCTCTAACCCTAGCACTACAGGGCAGAGACAGCTGCTTGCTGGCCAGCCAGCTAAATCAAAACAATGTCTCAGGTTCAGTGAGAGACCCTGTCTCAAAGCAATAAGGCAGAGAGCAATCGAGGAAGATAACCTGACATCCTCTGGCCTCCACATACTCACACACAGGTGCAGACACCTGCACACACACATGCATGCACCACACACATACAGTGTACTGCACAACATACGTAATATCACTTGTATCTTTTTTAAAATTATTTTTATTATTTTTATTTTATGTGTATGAGTATTGCCTGCATGTATGTAAGTGTACCCTCTAGAGGTCAGAATGGGACATTGGATGCCCTGGAACTGGAGTTATAGATAATTGTTAACCACCATGTGGATGCTGGGAAACCCAGATCTTCTGCCAGAGCTGCCAGTGCTCTTAACCACTGAATAATCTCTGCAGCCCCACACTTTTAGCTTTTGATTAAGTTTGTATAATAACTAAATCACTGATTCATGTGATAATCAGCTAATTGATTCATTATTTTGTCTTTTCATAGATATAAGTATACAATTAAGCTCAATTCAGTCTCATTGTATACTACTAGAGAAGCAACTAGAATATACAAAAAGAATGGTTCTCAATGTAGAACGAGAAAAGAATATGATTCTAGAACAACAGGTAAGTATTTTCTCCAACAAATGATATGTTTTTGAAGAATGGTATGTGGAAAAATTTTTATATTTTAACTAAAAGTAAACTGGGATATAAAACTATGTACAGGAAAGTTCCATCTACAGTAATGATAGACTAGGTCATTTAGGCCAACATTTTTGTAATGAAAACAAGAAAAACTTGACAGATAACCTGAAGAAGAAGCAAAAAAAAAAAAAAAAAAAAAAAAAAAAAAAGAAGATGACAACTAGAAAACTAACAAGGTGTAGTCATTAATTCTGAATCTTTATACAGATTTAACTCCAGAGAGCTCCACTTCCTTCTGAAGGCATTTTTTTATTTCAAAAGAGACCAATGAAAGGCTAAGCTACCTTTGACAACCATCCTTCTGTAGGCTGGTTCTACTTCCTGTGTGCAGCTGTTTGGCAGATGTGTCACAGATCTGGCATCTGCAGCATCTTGGGATCTCTGGCTTTACTTCCACAGTTTCATATACTGTCCTTTCACAGCCTCTTGCCCTGTCAGGGCCTTCATGCAGGGAACATTGCCTGACCTCAGTGACTCTCTGAAACCAAGGAAGACAAATCCATGACCTCCTCTCTCTTACATCTTTCATGCCTCCAAAGCCAGTACCATGTGGATGGCTCTGCCAAGTTTGGCTGACAGCTTGGAATGGACCCTGGTCCCCTTTGACCACATTGGTGGTAGCTTTAGATGGTTGAAGCAATTGCATGGGAACAAGTAGCCCCTTAGGCTTTCTCCTTTCACAAGTTGGAAGCTTAGCTGGGTGGTATCTTGCCATTGTTCAGTGCAGGGTAGGAAGCATCTCCTTAATGACACTAAATCTCTTAACAATTATAGATGGTTCAGTGGTTAAGAGCACTGGTTGCTCTTGCAGAGGACCCACACCCAGCACCCACATACTGGCTAACACCCATCTATAACTCCAGTTCATGGGAATAAGACACCCTCTTCTGACCTCCATAAGCATTGCATGACATGGGTGCACTTACATGCAGGCAATACACTCATACACATAAAATAAAAATAATAAAATATTTTTAAAAAACAATTACAGTCTCTCTTTCCACACATGCTTTCGCTGTAACATTAAAGCTTTCTTGTGCTCTTTTTCTCTCCAAACTTTACATTTTGTAGTTCTTTCTGCCCCACTTGTTTCTTTTCATTGTAGACCTGCATAATAGTTATCAGTAATGGGGGTGGAATGATGGCTTAGTAATTAAGAGCACTGACTGCTCTTTCAGAAGACCCAGGTTTGGTTCCAGCACCCATGCAGCAGCTAACAACCATATGTAACTCCAGTTCCAGGGAATCCGCAGGCACTACCTGTGGGAAGCGGGCGCGGTCAAGCCGGCCAAGATGGCGCCCTGGCTGGCTGCCAAGCCTCGTGACCCTCACTTGTTTGCTCCAACTCGCGCAAGCGCTGTAAGCTTGATCACGCGCAGCCTGCCTGACATGATACGTCACCGAGCATGATTCTGTTGTGTGGCCCAATGATTTGCTGTTCTGTCTGCATGTTAGCCCCGTGCTCATGTCCTGATTGGCTCCGTGTGATGGTCTGATTGTGGGATGGATCTGATGAGAGTATATATTGTGGGATGACAAAGAATAAGAGAGAGAGAATTGCTTGAACCTCACCTTGGCATCCATGTTGTCCTTTCCTCGGCTCTGCTGGTCAGAGTCTTGGTTCGCGGCAACTACCCATGTACTTATATACATGTAGTCAAAACACTCATACACATAAAATAAAAATAAGATAGCTTTTAAAAAAGACTTATAATAAGCAAGCCACAGACTCAACATTATGTTGTCTTGACATTTCTTCTATAAAAGAAATTAGTTCTTTTTAACTTAGCCTCGGGTAGATTCTTAGGGCAGAGTCAGAAGGCAGTCAGATTCTTTGCCAAAATATCATAAGAATGACCTCTAGCTTAGTTGCTGTTAAAGCCCTTGCTTCCCTCTGAAACCTCCTGTGCCATGTCCCTACCTACACATCACTGCCAGCATTACTGTTCTCTAGGCACCTGCTAGAACAGCCCACTAACCCCTGCTTACAGCATACAGCTGCATTTTTAGTCCAAAGTTCTAAAGTCTTACACATGCCTCCAAAAAACATGATCCGGTTCTTTACAGCAATAACCCATGCTCTGTACCAACTTCTGTATTAGTTCATTTTCAAGGAAACTTTTAGAAGGAAGAGTTTATTTGGGCTTACAGTTCCAGGGGAATAAGAGTCTACCATGATGTAGGGGTGTGGTGGCAAGCAGGGGTGTGGTGGCAAGAGCATGAAGCTGAGAGATCACTTCAGTCATAACCAGGAAGCAGAGATAATGAACTGGAAGTAAGATGAGGCTTTGAACTCTCAAAGCTCACTCAAGTGGCATACTTTCCATCAAAGATGCAACTCCTAAACCTTCCCCAAACAACACCAACTGGGGACCACTGTTAAGTATTTGAACCTGTGGGGGACATTTCTCATTCAACCCACCACATTCTCTTAGCATTTATATACCTGGAAAAGTTATTTGACTCATCATATTTGAAAGGTATCTGCTGAGCCATCTCCCTGGCCCTGTATATTTATTTTGTTATTGTTTTGTGATTTTGAGGGGGTTATGTTTGTTTGTTGTTGGGTTGTTTGTTTGTTTTGAGATAGTCTCACACTCTAAAGCTCAGGCTGGCCTTGACCTTGTAATGTTGCCTAGGCTGGCCTCCAAGTCCTGCCTCAGCCTCTGGAATGCCACGAATGCAGGAATGTGCCACCATGCTCTGCTTTAATTGACAGCTTTTCAATTTTTCAGCACATTATTTTGTTTCAGTTGACTTCATAGTATCTAAGGGTTATTCTTATCTCCATCCATGGGTTTCTATTTCTCAGGATTTTTTTTTAATGTTTTGTTTATTTTTATTTTATGTGTATGTTATGTCTCCATGTGTGTAAGTGCACCTGTGTCATGCAGTGCCTGCAGAAGACAGAAGAGGGCCTCGGATCCCCTCAAACTGAAGTTCTTAGCCACTGTGTGGGTACTGGGAATCAAACCTGGGTCTTCTGCAAGAACAGCCAGTGGTCTTAACTGCTGAACCATCTTTCCCGCCCTTTCTCAGGAGGTTGTTAAATTTTCTCTTTATCACTGATTTTCAACAATTTGATAATGGATGTACCTATGTGTGATTTCCTTTATACTGATTCTGCTTTTTTATTTCTGTGCTTTTTGAGATTTTTTTTTTAATTGTCACTATTTTTCATTACATTTGGAACATTTTATCTTTATCCTTCAAGTAATCATTCTGTCCTACTTCCATTGCTTCTAAGACTCCAATTAAATATTACACCATAGGTCTCCAGGCCTATGTTATTGATGGCTGCTTTTTGGTTTGTTGTAATTAATAGACTTTATTTTTTTAGAGCCATTTTAGGTTTATAGGGTTTATCCTTCCCCCTCAACAGTTGCCCTCAGTATTCATGTCTTACATAGTGTGGTGATAGACAGTGCTGTAAAACAGTCTATAGATAAATGTATGGGTAACTTTCCTTTTTATGTTTTATTCCTCTGATCATTGCACTTGTCTGTTAGAGTCAGAGAGAAGGGTAAGACAGTGAGTAGGTTTGGTCACCTTGTGGGTAACACTTTGTTTATTTAATGTAAGTTCTGCTACTGGTATTTTCCCTAGTATCATCATTATGTAAGGATGCATAGACGAGTTTATTCTAACAATGCAAATTTAGAAAGTTTCTTATTATATATTACATTTGCTCCTTAAAAATATTTGATTCTCTTGGTTTTTGCTTGGAAGCACCTAATATATATACATATATGCACATGTTTCTAGCAGACTATTTATATTGTATTTTGAATTCCCAGAAATTATATTATTCGTGATCCATTGGCATCAGTTGCCAAATTTAGGTTTTGTTTTTATCCTTTCCAGGCCCAGCTTCAAAGGGAAAAAGAACAAGATCAGATGAAGCTACATGCCAAACTTGAAAAGCTTGATGTCTTAGAAAAAGAGTGTTTTAGACTGACAACAACTCAGCAAACTGCTGAGGTAAGCTGCTGCCTGTCCTTTGAAGTGATGAAGCCAGGAGTAAATCTGTAGTGTTAAGCACAGCTAGCATTGCATATGAATCTAAATAAAAGATTTATAAATTTCATTTACAACTTTTAGTAATCTGGGTATTAATTTTCCTCATGGAGAGAATGTGTTCTGTCTTGGCATGAACAAGCTTGCCTTCTGATATAAAAGTATGATTTTGACTTCTAAGACGTCAGGGCATTTCCATTTGTCTGAGAATCAACCTAAAGGATATTAAAAGATGGCCTTTACCACTAGGTTGAGTTAAGCCTGTCCTAAATTCCTTATCCTTCTTTCTCCCCTAAATTCTTGTCATTTCATATTGTCCCCGAATCTTCTATCATCTTTGAAGTCTTCCTTGATTTATACTGTGGTCTGAAATTTCTACCTCTGAAACATTATTCCTATTCTGACCATACCACATATATAAAATGTAATGTATTTATAAGGTTAGACAATATATACATAGTTCCTTTCAAATTATTTCATTGCTTTGCTCTTTTACTGTTTCATGTTTGTTATTCTTTTTTTTTTTTTTTTTTTTAAATTTTTTGGTCTTTTTGAGACAGGGTCTCCCTGTAGCCCCAGCTGGCCTGGAACTCACTATGTAGACCAGGCTGGCCTCAAACTCACAGAGATCCACCTGCCTCTGCCTCCCGAGTGCTGGGATTAAAGGTGTGCACCACCACACCCAGCTCTTTTTTAAAATTTTTAAAAATTTATTTTAATTTTATGTGTATGAGTGTATTTCTTGTGCGTATGTAAGTGCACCCATGTTGTGAAATGCCTGAGGAAGTCAGAAGAGGGTGTTGGACCAAATGAAACTCGAGTTATGGGTAGTTGTTAGCCGCCATGTGGATGCTGGAATTTGAACCCTGGTCTTCTGCAAGAGCAGCTAATGCTCTTAACTACTAAGGCATCTCTCCAGTCCCTGTTATTCATTTTTAATTGTATTTATTATTACTGTGTATATGAATAGTGGTGGTGGTGCATGTGTGCCATAGCATGTGTGTGGAGGTGAGAGGACAACTTTATAGAGTTGGTTCTCTATTTCTATCCACTTGGGTTCCAGGGATCAAGCTCAGGTCATCAGGCTTGCACAGCAAGCCATCTTGCTGGCCCTCATGTTTATTATTCTTGTTTGCTAAAGAGCTGTACTAAATCAGCACTTAAGTAACAAGGACCATATCTTATATTTCTATTGTGTTTTCCTGCTCTTCTCCTTGCAACACCTACATCTTTTTCATGTGCACATGGTAGACATTGTTATTTTTCTGTTTTAAATGGAACATTGAGGCTCGAGACCATAATTGCCTGACCTTCAAAAGATATAATATTCTCAAAAGTTTGATCGTGACTTTTTTCATAGAAGTAAATCTATGAGTGAGTACATGCTTTGCTTTCACTTTATTCTCTTTACATACAGTAGTACTTAAGGAAGCATAGAAAAAAGTCAAGAAAAGTCTTAGCATCTTTTGTCATTCTTTTTTCTTACTTACCGTTTTAACTTTCCAGCTCTTAAAAATCAAGTCCTATTAGGATCCTCTTTTGAAAAGAAACAAAGAATATTTGGCTCTAGTTTTTATATAACAGCCCGAGATTTTCATTCTTTTCCAGGATAAGATTAAATATCTGGAGGAAAAACTTAAGGAAGAAGAACATCAGCGTAAGCTATTTGAAGACAAAGCTTGTGAGGTATCATTCTTTAATCTACCACACTGAGTTTAGTGTGGTTTTAGTACACTTTATTTTCATTAACTATTCCTTATTCTAGACTTAGTTTTGGCTTTCTAGATTTGTTATGTTTGTCTCTTTTTTGTTATGGTAATGAATTTCACATTTAGCCAGTGCATTCATATACTCAAATGCATTGTCAAGAGATCTTGCAAATACATATATTCTCTTGAGATAACTCCTAGAATACATTATTTTCAGCTTAAGATATATAAATATATATATATACACACACATATATGTGTATATACAAACACATGAACAATATTTAGAATATTCTTTCTCAAAAAGTTTTTGAGGCTCACCTCCCTCTGCTTCCCTGGGCCTGCACAACCCGCAGGCCTCTTTCCAACCCACAGTCCTTTATCTGGGGTAAGTCAATTGCATTCCCCCAGCCTCAGTCACCCTCCCATCTCCCCCACCCATCTCTCCTCCCAGCCTGGGTCCTGTCCCATTCCTTGTCTTGGTGCCCCAGACACCTGAGGAACCACAACTGCTTCCTGATCCTTTGCATCCAGACCAACCTAGTTCCTTCTTGGGTCCACAGGAGCACTCTGGGCCTGGCCCCGCCCTCACCTCCCTCTGCTTTCCTGGGCCTACATGATCCCCCAACCTCTTTCCTGGACGCCAGGGCTCACCATTCCTCTTCCTGAACCTTTGCATCCAGACCAACCCAGCTCCTCAGTGCAGTCCCCAGGAGCCCTTGGGGCCACTTCACACCCCCATCTTCCTTTGCCTCTCTGGGTGGCATGCCACCAGCTGCCCTAGATCAATATCTTTCCTTGGCCCAGCTCCCAGGCCAGTCCAACCCCCAAATTCCTGAAGCCAAAGTCGTTCCTGGAGGGATCCAGACCTTAGGAGAAAGCCTGAGAACATCTGATCCTCATATGACTTGGGCCTCTGTGGGAATTCCTCAAGACAAAAGCAATCTGGCCACTCCAATATGAAATCAAAAGAGAGAACTGGAAGCTTAGAGGAAACAGCTTTTCATGCCCCAAAAGTAAACCACAGAGACACATAAAGTTTACAAAAAGCAGACCTAAACTTGAAGGCTTGACAAGTCTCCCACAAGCATCAGAAACTACGAAAGAAATTCACATGTCAAAATCACAGAGAAAAAAATAATAACATGAAAAACCAAAATAACATATCCCCACCAAATACCAATAGTTCTCTTCAGGAGTGCAATGAGAACCCGCTGGAGATAATGCAGGACAGGGAGCTCAAAAGAACTC